GAGGCACAACAGCTTCAATTATATCTCCTAAAAGGTCTGAGCGACGAAACCAGATCGTTCTGCCATGTGCATCCTGCACGCTCAACGCTTTTTCGCGTAAGAGCGAGTCTTAGCTTAGAGGGTGCAAGCAAGCTAAGGCACATAAGTAGGCACAACTGCTCCAATCTACGCTCATCTCATGAAAGATCAGAGGAACCAGAACTTTGGTATGCTTACGCAACTTACTCAGAAACGATATTGGGACTCCGTCACCTCTTGAGGATGATTGCATCCCAAATTTTTGTACGGAGAACTTTTCCTCAGCTCCGTTCAATCCATGTCTGCCAACGGGACACAAAGCTGGAGGACATTAGCCCAAACACTGCAGAATACACAGCAGATAGTGACGACTCATGGAGGGCCATTTCAATGGTGTTCAGCACCAGGAGTGGCCAGCTCGATGACAATAGAGCTAGGAGGGAGACTGGAACTAGTTTAGAGAGGACATATCGTTGCATGCATGGAATCAAATTTAGGGGAGGTTTTATTGTAATAGATTTTTCAATTTTGATTGGATTTCCGATGTGTAATGTACAGTGTCTATATATGGTTTTTCATTAAATTAATTGCATTTAGTGGATGATTTTTCTTTTGATCACTGTGAGTAAGGCAAGTTGCCAGCATTCCGTCAAAGGAGACTATAGTCAGCAAATAGCTGCTTTTTTTGGTAGTGAGCAAGCATCGGGCTCTTGGATTATTCATCAAGAAAGTTTTGTCAGATCCAGGTGCTTTTTTGGCCTGTCGCTTACTTAGAAGCTTTAAGCTCAGTTATGATGCCATAAAGAATAATTTTCTCCTACCAAACGACCCGGTGTCTTTGATAGGCATGTTCCGAATGGGATATTTTTAGTCCTGGCCGTCGACAGCGAAAATAGAGACCGGAAGCTTGTTAAAACAATAGTATAGATAATATGATATAGGAGATGAGAGAAAGGTAAGTTAAACTCTTTGTCTTAAAACGTGGGACAAAGACATAATCTAAATCTCACGGCGATATATGGAACCCACATTTCCGGTACATTGATCGTGCCCCGCTAGAACGCACAACTTTATCAGAGAAAGGATCAGTCGTCTGCAAAAAAAGGAGGGGGGAGGAGGTGTGAAATGAAGGATAAGACTTCTTTTCTACAGTCCATTTTTCAAATTTTGGCTCTTTGGGAGTTTTACTGATTTGATGGTGGCGCTGATACTGGTGATGGAAGTGATTTGGAGATTTGGGGCATCTTTTCCATGCAAATGCTAATATATTTCGGTAAGAATAAAAGAAGAAGTATCCTCCTAAAGCTAGAGCGGACTTTATCCTCGCTTGTCTAAAGGACAGATAAGTCGTGTCCCCGCCATCAGATACATTTATGACGCTGTTCGTGTTTTCCCTTCAAATATGCCACCATGATCTACCCTTGACTTGGCGTAACAAATCCTTCTCCTCTTTTTTCGATCTCGGGGTGATCTATTTCAACAACTAGGAGCCTCACAAAGAGGTATTAGAGACCTTTTTGTAATGTCAAGAGCAACAGCTGCTCAGCAATTATAAGCCACAAAAAGAAACATTACAGACCCAAATAGTGATTTAGGTGAGATGCAGCCGTCTAACGATTAGATGCTACACCAAGAAGCACTATTGACAAAAGTTGTATATATATTTTTTCTTAACTCTTTTTTGTTCTAAACCGCACGGTCGTGGTTTGGCATCTTCCACCAGGTTACATAGTTACAACTTCGTTCCCAGGGTCTCTCTTCTTTCCTTCTTTCTCTCGCTCCAAAGGAAGGGAATAAGAGAGACCCTGGGAACGAGGTTGAGTAAGTTGCTTTAAAATAGTGGTATCTTTAGTCGATGTTGAGTTTATTTCAAGCCAAAAGAGCAATCCATCACTTGCTCTTTTGACTCTCAATTCACGGTACTCAGGAAATCTTCATCGACGATTTTCGATTGTGGAGATAAAAGTTGTTTGGTTTCTGGCTCATATTTCCCCTTCCAGTGCAACTGAATTTTTCCCGGCCTTATCACACTGAAACAATCTAGCACAGTACAGAACACATACTTATTCCGAAGAAAAGGGTAAGTTTCTAAAGAAACTGTGGTGCTGCGTCGGCGGGGGTAACAAGATAATTTGGTTATATCAGCTAAGTTGAAAATGTAAATTGGCCACCGTAAAGGGTTAAAAAGCTGACGTTTCGAGCGTTAGCCATTCGCCAGAGCTCCATTCGCTCTGGCGAAGGGCTAACGCTCGAAACGTCAGCTCTTTAACTCTTTGCGGTGGCCAATTTACAATTTCAACTTAGCTGATATAACCAAATCACCTTATTCCGAAGAGATCAAGTATTGAAGAGAAACTTCTCCAAAGAAAACCAAAACATTTACTTGTACTCGCTTGTTACCTGGTTTAAGCTAGGCACTAGGAACTAGGAACACAACAGTTTGGATTGAACAATTTGATTTTAAACCATTGACTCAGGAGCCCAATTTCCACCCCCCCCCCAACTGCATTTTCTCAGGCTTCCCTGACAACCC